AAGGATGTTTGGTCCTCTTGTTTGAAATTCTGTCCGATATTCAGAATCTTCTGGTCTTATCCATGAAGTGCCATTACATATTTGTGCCCCTAAACCCTGCTTTTCTTTACATAATTTTATTACATAAAGTTTTAAAAGCCATATTTGAAATTCCTATAAAACCCTTGTTATTTTTTTTCATAGCTTTTGAAAGAAAAAAGGTGCCAATGTTAAATGTACGAAAAATCTAGAGAGAATAATTTCCCGCCAAATTTTCAATGGTTTATATTTCGAAAACAAGTGCACAGACCCTTCATTTTTCTCTGCTTTTTTAGTTCCTTTATTCATATACTATCAACTTATAACAGTCTTTTAAAAAGCTTGTTATTTTGGAACAGAGCAGCGAACATCTTTAACAAGGTGATTATTGATCAATAGTGCAAAGGGTTTGTGGAAACAAGCGGTGTATAACATCCGAGAGAAAAAGTCACGTTTACCGGAGGTCGTTGTACATGAAACACTAAATATAGAAAAAATACAAATATCTATTACAAGGACTCGATATTTACGTTGGGTTATTTAGGGCGGAAACTCTCATCTAAGCAACAGATGCATCCGTTGATATAAATGTGAATGACCACAACCATTATTTAACAAGGATACACTCCTTTGATTTGATTAATCTGATGCATAAATAATTATAAACAACATACAACCTTTTTATTTCAGCTGAAAATTAGGTTTATGCTAACGGATTCATCCGGCATTCATGATAGAATCATGTTGTCTTTTCGGGTGTCCATTTGTCTGTTACGAGGGTCTGGATGGGGGTTTTTCATCCAACGTTATTCTTTAATTTTTGAGGCCATGTTTTTTCCATATTCTTCATACTTTTTGCCCATTATTCTCTATTTTTTATATTGTAGCACCTCATTATTCTCTATTCTTTATTTTTTGGTCCATTTCTCTCTATTCTTTATATTTTTACCCATTCACCTTTATTCTGTAAACCCCCATCCACACCCTCTGTTATCTGTTCTTAACACAATTATTACAAGTTCTTCCTTTCAATTGAACTACCATGATTTTGGATCTTTACACGGCTTACTTTCTTGTAAAACTTTCTTGACCTGAAAATTGTGTATTATATATATTTACATAAATAAAGAATCAGATCTACTGTAAAATTGTTAGGTTGATTTTCTATGCACTTTATAAATATTCTAACGCTTGGTATTTCTTAATCATAAGAAATCCGATAAACAAGGTACAGTTGTCACTACACATAGGCAGATATATATATACATAGATATAAGAAGATATGGTATGAGTGCCAATGAGACAACTCTCCATCCAAGTCACAATTTGTAAAAGTACATAACTACTCTAAATATCAGCACAACAATGTTAAATTCAGCTTTCGGTGGCCTAGTGTTACTTTTCCTCGTCAGTAGAATCTAGAGTTGTAACACAGTACATGATATATTAGGCATGAAGATTGAATTGATTGCAGATTAGCTAAATATCTATCGTAAAGGATCGTAAGTTACATGTATATATATATATATATATATATATATATATATATAGGGGGGGGGATTAAGGCTGAAAATGCACTACGTAATTTTAAATTAAGACATTAGTAATATCATACTCCCGATTTAAACAAAAATGAATAAACATAACATTCATGTGCATGTTAAAATATGTCAAGGCTTATGAAATGAACGTGAATAGATCAACGTTATATTTCTATAGTTATAAATATAAATATTAAGAATATGAATAATGAAATGAACGAGGGTCTGGATGGGGTTTACTGAATATAGAATAATGGGTAAAATGTGCAGAATAAATTGCCAAAAAATAAAGAGTAGAGAAAAATAGAGCAACACAAAAAAGAATAGAGAACAACGGGGTGCTAAAATATAAGGACAGAGATTAATAGGCTAAAAATATAAAGAATAGAGAAATGACCTAAAATTAAAGAATACAGAAATGAAAAACTCCCATCCAGACCCTCATAAACTATGTTGATATTATTTTTGATATTCATGAGATTCACACATGACAAGAAATTATATTTTTGTGATTTTACTTTTTATGTTGAATATATTTTAAAGACTCTATATTACCTCCTGATGTCCTGTGGCTGTCGGTGGGTAGATCGTCATGTATACAAGTGAGAGGTAGCTAGCTATGAAACCAGGTTTAATCCGCGATTTGTAACATAAGGAAATGCCTGTACCAAGTCAGGAATATGACAGTTTAATGTGTTTGAGTTTTTGATTTTGCCATTTGATAAGGGACTTTCCGTTTTGAATTTTACTTGGAGTTCGGTATTTTTGTTGTTTGACTTTTTACAAATTCCACACATGTCCTTTTATTCATACTGGGACATAGAAATAATCACACTTTTCCAAAAATTGTTTCAAGCTATGGACATTTGAATAATTATAATCTTCCAGTAATTTGTTCCGCTGAAAATATTACTCTCAACGTGTGTTTAGAAATAATACTTGGGTAAACATGGGTAACGACATCTTCAAGTGTGGTATATATTTTCGACAATACAAACGTAGCTTCCTAAATATAAAAAAAAAAAATGTAGTGGTGATTTTTTTGCGAGAACGCCAGTATTTTGCTATAAACTAACCCTATGTCAAAATTTAACCTTTACTCTTTGAAGATGAGTCATAAGAGTGTCTTACCACATGTAATCTATATGTGAATTTAAGTGCACAATATAAGCGCACAAAATAATCAAATTCGATAAAATTCGAGAACACAGTTGAGGAGAAAGGCACGCTTTTTGGGTGTAGGATTAGAGACATATATTTATTAAAAACAAAGAGATTAGGAACAGGAGCACCACATGTCAGCCCCCTACCCCCTTCACAGTTTACAAGAGCTTGCAGCTGCTACTTAGACTTTATAAAACGTCACCAGTGTCTGAGCAGAAATTTGATGAACCAGGTTTATGTCAAAGAACGTCTCGTTCTTTTTCTAAAAAAAAAAAGTTCATCGGAAGACACCAAGACATTGTTGATAGATATTCCGTACCAACTTCAAAAATGATACGTGATGGTCTTGAAGTATAGATTCTAGGTACTGACGTTGTTTATCATCTTAATAACGAGTTATAGTGTTCTTTTTACTTGTCTTTGTATATTTTGAACCTTTACTGCTTAGTCCAATTTTGGTAATATCCCTTTGGAGTTTCTCGGTATTTATACACCCCGTCATTTTATTATTGTGCTATAGTTATTTTTGTATTCTTGTCTTTCATTTTGGCTTATGCGCTTTGTCTATAGAGTATGCCATTTTGTTTTTCTTTGTTGACATGGTTGTTTGTTTTTATTGTGATTAAGATTTTAACACAATGTTTGCTCTACCCAAAAAAAAAGAAAAGAAAAAGAGGGGTCCATGACCCAAGCACCATTTAACTTAACGATTATATTCCCATATTTTCTAACATCTTCCTTGGACTATTTTAAAGTATATTTCGAATTGAAGGAAGGATGATGGAGATTGTATTTATGATATTCTAACATCTAAATTATTTAATTAGGTAGCATTGATTTTTGTACAAATACATATGACTGTACAATTATTTTGGCTTTATCATGTATAAGTTTAGAAAAAAGTGTGTATTAAGTATTGTCAAATACGGGGAAAATAAAATAATTCAAACGCCTAGTATAGTGATCCTAGACCTTCGTGACATTCGTGATCAGATTTCCTAATGAATGACCTCACAGTTTTATTCTTTTCACATTTTCGGTCCATACATGTATCGGTTAACTATCTCATATTTTCTTACTTCCATTAAAACATTATGGAAAAACTAAAAAGTGAGAAAAAAAAATATTTTCTTCAGTCGTTTTTAGAAGTGAGTTTCAACGCTATATCAATATTTTTTAAGCGATATAGGCTGCGTTGCAAGTTTTCTTTAACAATAAATAGCTTATTATAGTATTTGATATATTATATTTGTTGTATCGGGGATGGAGTTTTTCAAGATAAAGGTTTTAAGACGAAGTAACTTAACATTGGATTGCAACCTCTCCCTTTTTTGTTATCGCTTCTAAACAACGTATTGTAAAGGAAAGTTTTTATTAGAATATGATGTATATTTAAGGTAAACTCAACACTGTAAACTAATAAGTTTTCCCGTGTTAGTTCCTCTTTCGTTAAACAAGGAGGAAGCCTATGTAAATGAAAGAAATATTTTAATTTTTTTTTGAAACAAAAGAATAGAAGAACGGTTTTAAATTGTGTGCATCATATATTGCTACAAAACATAAGTACACGAAGATAATTTACGGAAATTAGGATATTTTTCATTTTTGTTTGTTTGTTATAAACTGTAATTTGAGGTGTTAGTTTTTTCTTGTTTCTAAAGAATTATATGCAGAGATAAGATCTTTTCGGGCAATAACCATTTTCGCTGCTGAGTGTTGTAGTAAGGAAACTAGGACGGGTTCAAACAGAAAGATTTTGAAAGCAGAAAACACTGTGCACCCTATAAGCAGCACGACTTTATCAGATGATAATACTAAAAATCCAGGCTAAAAATAAGGCGTAGGTACCTAAATTCAGTCATGGACCTGCGATGTCTATGGTGTGTTCTAGTTTTGTTTATAATACTTAACCATTTACCTTTAACATGTTTGTCATCGGCTATCGCTAACAATGAATTTACTCAGACAAGCAAATATATGTGTGTATATCAAAACTTAACTAACACGCCATTAAAGAATGTTCAATTATTCAATGTTAATAAAAACACAAGGTTAACTCCTGTATAGTTTTTAAAGGTATTTGTTTGTAGGCATTGAGAACCCTTCGGCGACCCCGTGCGTTTAAATGTCCAATGTAAAAACAACGAAATGAGCGGGCGTAACGGATGAACGTTTGCCCGATCAGACCCAGCCAATGGATGGCTTCAATGGGTTAAAGGTTGGTCATATCTAAGCACTTATTGGTTTGATAATATGCAGATAACCTTCACATTTCCGTTTTTAGACGGAAGAGGTGCTTGTAAACTTAACTATTAATACTGCTGTATTTGTGAAATTAGCGTGTTTGTAGTAATTGCTTAGCATCCAACTTTTTGTCTGGTAAGTTGTTTTTCATTTATTAACTTTTAGTATGACATTAACAGGAAAATTGCCAAACCATTTTGTTGTTTGAATTAGGCTAGGACGTAAAATGTGTCATGTAAATTCGAGTGTAAATAGTAATTTTAATAATAACGTTTCAAAGATCGAATATGCATGCTTAAATCATTGCAGCAGTGAAGAATATTCGAATATAATTGATATAAAGTAAAATAAAATTTCCTGACAGTCTTACCAATTAATTACGAACTTTTTTCTTCGCAGAAAGAATGTCGGCAAAGCTGTCTGCTGTGCTTGTGCTAATCTGTGTTTTACGGTTTGGGAATACTTATGCCAGGAGGGGTAAGTCCCCCTTATGACGTTTACTACATTTATTTATTAGGACATTGGGTTCTCGAGTTTTGTACTTTATATTTTGCAAGCACTTGCACCTTTTCCTGTGCTATCCATAGAAACTTTTTATAGTAACCTCTATATTTTTCAATACATGCATATAAGAAAAAACTTCAATCTCAAATATACTTCTGGCAAAATTATTTAATATTCTTGTTATTTTTAACATGTACCTGAGTCTTGTTCCTCGTTTCCGAGTTGAATACTATAGTAACATGTTACCTTTTTTTCCCCTTATTACAAGTATTTCTCATTCTAAACTCTAAAAATAGTTAAAACTGTTGACACAAAGACATGTCTCGCCCATATGTACTTATAAGGTTAAATGCAATTTTTTGAAATTAAAATGACAATTGATACTTAAATATGTAAGCAAAATTTTTATCATGTTAGTGGTCCTCAAGGTATTGACAAGTTTGGTGGATTTTTTCTGTACTTTAGATTAAATATGAGACTAAAGCTATACTTTGCAAACAATAAAGGATTGATAGCACATGCTATTAGGATTTTCAATAACACAATGATATATTATGATAAAAAGTAAACTACTGTCCGTTCTAGTATGTCATATAACTTATATTATCATGTGTAACTTCTCGCCTTTCTCGGTAGGCACAGTTTGCAACACCTACCGTTATGGTATATTTTCATTTTGTTTTTGTCCTGAATATGGAAGAAATATTTGTCACTGAACGTTAAGTAAACAGTCAATCAATCTAATGATATCATATCATTAACAATAGGTATTGTAGTGCGAAACGTAAGACAAACATGATATTATCATTTTTTCGTCATATCTAAAAGTCACACACATGATACTTTAGGGTAACACTCGGGTTACTACGGAGGGTACATCCTTGGTTTGTCAAACTGACGGTTGGTAGTTGACATTTATTGATTGATTTTCGATGCTTAAGGCCACTAACAGCTCTCTTGGCTATATCGTGGCGGCCATTTTTTATTGATTTATTGATGGAAACCGAAAAGAACCATCGACCTTCGACAGGAAAACTGGCAATCCTTGTCGACTAAGATAGGAGTCGAACGCACCTGCAACGAGTGAGGTTCGATCTCATAACCTCGATGTTGACAGACTAGTTATAATAGAAGATAAACTACTTATACCACTTGGCCACCGATGCCCCGGTAGTTGACAGACTAGTTATAATAGAAGATAAACTGCTTATACCACTTGGCCACCGAGGCCCCGGTAATTGACAGACTAGTTATAATAGATAAACTTTATACACCAGTTGGCCACCGAGGCCCCGGTAGTTGACATAATGCATCAGTATGAGATGTTTTATTTTAAAACAAGAATGTGTCCATAGTACACGGATTCCCCACTCCCACTATCATTTTCTATGTTCAGTAGACCGTGAAATTGGGGGTCAAAACTCTAATTTGGCATTAGAATTAGAAAAACCATATCATAGGGAGCATGTGTACTAAGTTTCAAGTTGATTGGACTTCAACTTCGTCAAAAACTACCTTGACCAAAACTTTAACCTGAAGCGGGACAGACGGACGAACGGACGGACAGACGAACGGACGGACGAACGAACGGACACACAGACCGAAAAACATAATGCCTCTCTACTATCGTAGGTTGGGCATACAAATCAGTAGAAACAATTATATTATGTTTTTTTAAAATAAAATTGATAGGACTGTACATGTCAAGGAAGACGGAGCCATAACAAAGGTCTTGAAGGGTTACGACAAATATGCCTACCCTGGAACAACTGAACATCCAATAGTGAAAGTCTCGCATAGCCTGAATCTCGAAAAAATGGACTATGATAGTATGGTAAGTGCGTCTTGAAACTACTTAATTCATTTCAATTTTTCGTTGACACATAGACATGTCTCGCCCATTAGTACTTAAAAACGAAGGCATTTGTTTTTCTTTTTTCTTTCTTTCTTTATTGAATTTTGCTTTGGTTTCAAGGTTTATGGCCCGCTTATGATAGTAGTAATGTTTTCTATTCTGTGTGTCCGTTAATCCCATATCAGGTTAAAGATTTTTGTCAAGGTTGTTTACCAGGAAGTTGTAGTCAAATCAACTTGAAAATGAGTAAAATTGAGAATGGGAATGGAGAATGTGTCAAAGAGACAACACCCCGACCAAAGTGCAGAAAACAGCCCAAGGCCACCAATAAACATCTTTATTATGGTATTAACTTTTAAAACTGTATTCCAAATTACGGTTCGACCCCATTTTTAAGAGTTCACTGAACATGGAAATGTGAAAGTTGGAAAAAGTATGTTTTGTCAGGTATTTGGTTTACCATGAAGTTGTGATCACACCAACATAAAACTTAATATACATGTTGGTTGTGATATTGACCTTGTAAAGTATAACCGAAATTACAGTTAAGATCTCAATGTCACGGTTCACTGAACAAGAAAATGATAGTGCACGCGAGGCATGGTGTCATATGGACACATATTCATGACCGATATTTCATAACTTACGTATTTGTTTCTAGCATTTAGTTTTTTAAGGAGTTTGTGGATCTCATTTAAGTAAGTTCGCAACTTAGATCGCAGGAAGAAAAAAAATGGCGAGAATTTTTGTTCAACATTTTTATTACAGTATTACAATAAAAAGTTTTCTAGCAAAATAGTATATATGTTAAATATTTTGTTGAAGTCAGATGATATTGTTTTTTGAAAGTCGATACAGTCATTACTCGCACAACATTATAATTTTCAATCAGAGATAAGTTTTAGAGCTATCTGATCTCTAACCAAGAAAGTTTGATAGGATTTGGTGGAACTGCTTTTCGCGCGGGGGTAACCGTTATTTTCGCTTATTTCGCGATTAGGTAAAGTACGCGAATGGTTTGTAGAAAGCAACATCGTTGATGTGAAGTGCGAATGTACAGTTGATGCGCGAATTTGACCCCCGTGCGAGTTTAAGCATTAACAACACTCAAAAATAATCAACGTTTCCATTTTCGCATTTCATTTGCAGAAGTCCAAAATGTCTATTGAGGTTTGGTCAGAGCTGAAATGGAATGACCCTAGATTGACCTGGAATGGAACACCAGCAAGAATAAGACTCCCAATGTCTCTCATATGGATACCAGATATAGTTCTATACAAACAGTAAGTAGTTTAATAAGCACCAGTACAGTCGATTATGAGGGTCTGGATGGGGGTTCCTCATTTCTTTATTCTTTAACTTTTTAGACAATTTTTCTCTAGTCTTTATTTTTTGGCCCATTATTCTCTATTCTTATTTGTTTGCCCATTATTCTCTATTCTTTATTTGTTTGCCTTTTTTTCTGCACTTTTTGCCCATTATTCTCTATTCTTATTTGTTTGCCCTTTATTCTCCACTTTTTGCCCATTATTCTCTATTCCTATTTGTTTGCCCTTTTTTCTGCACTTTTTGCCCATTATTCTCTATTTTTATTTGTTTGCCCTTTAATCTCCACTTTTTGCCCATTATTCTCTATTCTTTATTTGTCTGCCCTTTATTCTGCACTGTTTGCCCATTATTCTCTATTCTTCATTTGTTTGCCCTTTTGTCTGCACTGTTTGCCCATTATTCTCTATTCTTTATTTGTTTGCTCTTTATTATGCACTTTTTGCCCATTATTCTCTATTCTTTATTTGTTTGCCCTTTATTCAGCACTTTTTGCCCATTATTCTCTATTCTTTATTTGTTTGCCCTTTTTTCTGCACTTTCTGCCCATTATTCTCTATTCTTTATTTGTTTGCCCTTTTTTCTGCACTTTTTGCCCATTATTCTCTATTCTTATTTGTTTGCCCATTTTTCTGCATTTTTTGCCAATTATTCTCTATTCTTTATTTGTTTGCCCTTTTTTTTGCACTTTTTGCCCGTTATTCTTTATTCAGTAAACCCCGCCCAGACCTTAGGTGATACCTCATTCCAAATATCACGTTGGGGTTTGAAGACTGATTGCCGTAAGCAAGCCATTTTGACTGCCTCATAAGAAAGGCTTTTCCAAAGGATCTAAATTTCTTGCTATTTTGAGCAACACATTTATTAGGTCGCCCTCTCTTTGAGTTTGAAGGGCATTTCTAATATTTGTCGTTCATTAATTCTACGATATATTGTCGCGTGGATTTGGCGCACAAAATAAGCCGCATTGCAATAGGTGAATATGATTATTCTATCCGAAATAAATCCTCCCCATGCGCCAAAAAATCAAATGATCGTCCTTTTATTATATAAGCTATAAAATACCCAGGCATGACAAAATGTAAAAAAAAATTCAAACGAGAAAACCACTATTTATGTTAAAAAAAACAATAAACGAAAAACAAATATGGTAAACATCAAATAACGACACCCACTGAATTACAGCCGAGTTCCTCATATGTCCTCTACTTTTCTACCTTGTTTTATTTCGGATTCTGACGCGTGTTTGACTGAAGGTGGAACGGTTGTATTTCCTGGGCAATGGGGATAACGAAGCCTTTTTTTAATGTTCTCCACTTTCTAACACTGACCTAGAACCTACACACACAGTTAATTAAGTACTTTCGTATAATATTCAGAAATAAATGTGAATATGACCGTCTTCTTTTTCTGCCCCAAAATATTTAGACTTCTTTCCCTTCCCAATATCTTAAGGTTTTCTTTCGGAAACCATTTGTTTCAGACACACGGAAGGAAGGACGGACAAAGCGATTACTATGTGCTGCCGAAAAACAAATAATTCGGAGAGCGTTAAAAGGAAATGCAGGTTTATTGCATATCTACGAGAAACCAAAAGGACGTGAATGTATGCAACTGGCTTCAACAATAAGCAAAATCAATACCGTATAGTAAGGGGACGACCATTTGATTTTTTTAAAGGGGGAAGGCAGGAAGACAGGAAGGTGGAACGGTTGTATTTCCAGGGCCATAGTGATAATGAAAGGTTTTTTTTATAATATTCTCCACTTTCTAACACTGACCCAGAATCTACACACACAGTTAACCGAAGTACTTTCGTTATAATATTCAGAAACAAATGTGAATATGACCGTCTTCTTTTTCTGCTATCTTTATAAACCTAAGGCCACTAGTACTTTGCGGCCTTTTATCATAAAGTGAATACAAAAATTCTCAAAAATTCATTTTCACCCATGTGTAAAATTTGTTTATATTTTCTACACCTGATTCATCCCTCATCTTGGAAAAATATGTTCAGTAGATGCTGTATTTTTCGTCCAATCACAGTGTTCAGATATGTTGACATAAGTTGGTACACAAAAGAGCAACCTAGTATCACATGACAGTTGACGCATGCTGGTCGCTAAATTCTTACCCTGTTCGAGCGCCATTTTGAAAGTTTTTCATTGTTAATTTTGTCGTGTTTTTTTACCAAAACTTCTTGATCGACACTAGTATGTTAACACTTAAATTGTTTTTTTTTTTGCAGTCCAAATACAAAGCCATTATACAACCAAAATGTTGTTATAAGTCGGAATGGAGATGTTATTATGGTTCCTGATGCTAAGTATGACACTGAAAACTGCAAGCAGAAGAATGACGATGTTATCGAATGTAAATTTAAATTTGGATCCTGGACGTACGGTGCACATGAAATCGAATTACAAGCCATCAGTCCTCGCGTACTGCTGGAAACCTACACGGAAAACGCCCAGTACGAAATAGTCGGATCGAGTGTTGTTCGAGAGGCAAGGAAGTACGACTGTTGTCCAGAAACATACGACGATATAGTCTATACCATACAGATTAAACGTCATTAGAAAATTAGATGTGTGATATGTACTCAACGATATCGTACTATGAACTTTGAAGCCGCACACGTATATATCATGCTGCTTTGTAGATAACGCGACTTTTTTATATTGTAATGGAAGAAAAATCTTAACTGTTTCGTATTTTTGTTACAAAAATAAAGACCAATATTTTCATATGCCTGAAGACGCATTTTTATTAATGGGCGCAAAACTAAAAATGTGCATATTCATTTTTTTTTCTTCAAGGACATTATATAATTGTAAAAATTCACTGCTATTTTAAACCAAAATTGAATAACATATTTGTTTCCTTGGCAGCCGATCTTGGTTTTAACATTTCGCCTCTGACTCGTGTTATTGGTCTTTCTAAATAATTGCTTTCTAAATAGACTGTACGTCACTCATTTTGACTATGTATTAGACATTTGCTATGTTTATAATAAATATAATTAACTTGATTTGAAGATTGCTCTTTTCTTGTTTACCAGATTTGTAGTCAGGAGGGTCTGGATGGGGTTTACAGAATTGAAAATAATGCGCCAATACTATTGAAAAAGGGCCAAATTAATAAAGAAAAGAGAAAAATATGCCAAAAATAGAATACAGAATAATAATGTGCAAAATTTATAAAGAATAGAGAAAAATGGCAAAATAAATAAATAATACAGAATTGAAGGACCCTCATTCAGACCCTCAGTCAGGTAAAGGCAGGATGAGAGGAGATGCAGGGCGTACGTCAATAATACAGCAATCCAACATCAAAAATCAGAAATACATTTCTTTTACACTGATAATTGTATTACTTTTCATAAACATGCAATTGATAATCTTTACAGCTCGTGTGGTTTTACTAATTCAATCATGGGGTAAATTTAATATCTTTCATTTCCTAGAATGCATTATCAAAAGTTTTGGGTCCATAATGGTGTTACTGGTTAAGGAACACAGTTAGAAGTATTGAACATATATGATTTCCCTTACTGTAAAGAAGGAGTGGGACTATATCGCAATCAGCGTGTCCGTCCTTATTCTCGTCTCTTTTTTTTCTCAAAAAGTACTAAACAAATATCTTTATATTTGGAAACTTATATATTAAATATTTTATTTTTAATAAATATTTAGTAGCTGTATAGTGACGAAATGTAACGTGCGAATATTTTTGATCAGTCAGATACTTACTTTCTTATTGCATATACTCTGAAATTCAATATTTCAATATGTTGAATGAACTTACATTTTTTCGTCAAACATTTTTCCAATACCACTAAACAAAATGATTTTAAATTTAATCATCTGCTCAAAAGTGATGAGTTGAAACTAGTCTACGCTTTTTGGATATGTGTCGGACATTAGCTTTTTGTTTCTTTATCGCACTCTCTGTGCTGGCGTAAACTATGACTAATGAGGTCTTTATATGACGTTTCTTGTTACCCGGCCCCTGATATATTACAAGGGAAAACGCGAATAATCAATAGAGGAATGACAAAATCTGTCACAACTAAAAGAGAAAAACGAAAAGACACAACAACAGTCGACAATACACTAAACATAAAAACGATTGAGCAACAGGAACCCCTTATAAACTAGAGCTGAATTCTGGTGCTCAGGAAGATAAACACAGTGACTATTTTTTGTGACGATACCTTGTTTTCCTGTAAAGCGAAGAGTTTTTAGTTTTAAATGAAGAGATACACACAATCAAACAAAACAAGAAAGGGATAAAAACACTACATAAAAACATTACTGGGAGTCTCATTTAAAAAGTACAAAATAAATTTTAATTATAAGATACTTAAAAAATTGCATAAGCATATACTAAGATAGAATGTGTGTACCAAAAATATAATTTATAACCAAAACACATTAAAAACACTTTTTGATCAAGTTTTCAGCTTCTCGTTAAGCCAGATCAATTTGAAGTTGATCAGCATTGAAATTCAAACATTCAAAAAAATTGTGCCAAATCTGTTTCAGAAATCCACGCCTTGGGTAGATTCTAATAATGCATAATTTTATAAACAGTAAAATGATTTGTAGACAATGATCGTATCAATGACATTTCATATTTCTGGATTCGGCAATCCTTGTGTAGATTATAATAATGCAACATTTTATAAACAGTAAGATGTTTTATAGACAATGACCGTATCAATGATATTTCATATTTCTAGTTTCGGTAATCCACGCCTTGAGTATATTCTAATAATGCAACCTTTTATCAACAGTAAAATAATGTATAGACAATGATCGTGTCAATGATATTTCATATTTCATGTCAGCACTGTTTATCAGGGTCTGGAGAGGGTTTGCAGAATAGAAAATAATGGGCAAAAAGAGCAGAATAAAGGGCAAATAAAATTTAGGAATAGACAAAAATAGACAAACAAAAAAAAGAATAGACAAAAATAAACAAACAAAAAAAAAGAATAGAGAACAATGGGGCGCTGAAATATAAAGAAAAGAGAAACATGATTAAAAGTTAAAGGAACAAGCAATAAAGGACCCCCTATCCAGACCCTCTTACATATGTTAAGATAGGACGATAACTTACAAGTATTTTCATTTATTACTAGGCATTTTCAATATCGGCACAGGTATCATTCCTCTACCAATATCGAACGACGGACTAAAGCCCTCAGCCCGATATGCGAGTCTCAGGAAAATATCAGGGTTGATAAGCTTGAGGACCGATATAGGTTGAGACATGAGACAAGGGCTGATATGAAAAATTACTTTTCTACTTTATAGTCAGATAATTATTGTATTTTTATAAAATACTTTTTTCGTAATGTAAAATAAAAAATGATTTAAGACGTCTTTTTTTTAACGATTTAAAAACCCAACACAAGGATTTTTCTGATATTATAACATGAAATATATTCTAAATCCAACTTCTAGTCAGCAAGTGAAATATTTAGGCTACTTTGTTAAACAGTTTATGGACAGAGGGCACTTGAGGTCATTTGTTGTGTACGTAACAGTTGTGTGTTTAATATTTTGTTATATTTTTATTTAAATGTAAATGGCATCATTATATTGTTGTTTATACATGTAATTGTTGTTATGCCTTTGACCTTCTTATGGGTGTAATTTGTGCTTAATAAAGTTTTTTTTAAATTATTAACAAGAAAAATTACAAAATTAATATATTTTGTCTTGGTCTGCTGCCAATGATACGTTATTGAAGCCAGGTGTAGCGAGAATGGCCGAGTAGTTACGATTGACGACTGCACTTGTTGGATAAACTTAAAGGATGTTCGGTCCTCTTGTTTTTGAAATTCTGTCCGATATTCAGAATCCTCTGGTCTTATCCATGAAGTGCCATTACATATTTTTCCCCCTAACCCCTGCTTTTCTTTACATAATTTTATTACATAAAGTTTTAAAAGCCATATTTGAAAATCCTATAAAACCCTTGTTTTTTTTCATAGCTTTTGAAACAAAAAAAGGTGCCAATGCTGAATGTACGAAAAATCTAGAGAGAATCATTTCCCGCCAAATTTTCAATGGTTTATATTTCGAAAACAAGCGCACAGACCCTTCATTTTTCTCTGCTTTTTTAGTTCCTTTATTCATATACTATCAACTTATAACAGTCTTTTAAAAAACTTGTTATTTTGGAACAGAGCAGCGAACATCCTTAACAAGGTGATTATTGATCAATAGTGCAAAGGGTTTGTGGAAACAAGCGGTGTATAACATCCGAGAGAAAAAGTCACGTTTACCGGAGGTCGTTGTACATGAAACATAATACTAAATATAGAAAAAATACAAAATATCTATTACAAGGACTCGATATTTACGTTGGGTTATTTAGGGCGGAAACTCTCATCTAAGCAACAGATGCATCTGTTGATATAAATGTGAATGACCACAACCATTATTTAACAAGGATACACTCGTTTGATTTGATTTATCTGATGCATAAATAATTATAAACAACATACAACCTTTTTATTTCAGCTGAAAATTAGGTTTATGCTAACGGATTCATCCGGCATTCATGATAGAATCATGTTGTCTTTTCGGGTGTCCATTTGTCTGTTACGAGGGTCTGGATGGGGGTTCTTCATCCAACGTTATTCTTTAATTTTTGAGGCCAATTTTTTTTCATATTCTTCATACTTTTTGCCCATTATTCTCTATTTTTTATATTGTAGCACCTCATTATTCTCTCTTCTTTATTTTTTTTTTGGTCCATTTCTCTCTATTCTTTATATTTTTACCCATTCACCTTTATTCTGTAAACCCCCATCCACACCCTCTGTTATCTGTTCTTAACACAATTATTACAAGTTCTTCCTTTCAATTGAACTACCATGATTTTGGATCTTTACACGGCTTACTTTCTTGTAAAACTTTCTTGACCTGAAAATTGTGTTTTATATATATTTACATAAGTAAAGAATCAGATCTACTTTAACATTGTTAGGTTGATTTTCTATGCACTTTATAAATATTCTAACGCTTGGTATTTCTTAATCATAAGAAATCCGATAAACAAGGTACAGTTGTCACTGCACATAGGCAGATATATATATATATACATAGATATAAGAAGATATGGTATGAGTGCCAATGAGACAACTCTCCATCCAAGTCACAATTTGTAAAAGTACATAACTACTCTAAATATCAGCACAACAATGTTAAATTCAGCTTTCGGTGGCTTAGTGTTACTTTTCCTCGTCAGTAGAATCTAGAGTTGTAACACAGTACATGATATATTAGGCATGAAGATGGAATTGATTGCAGATTAGCTAAATATCTATCGTAAAGGATCGTAAGTTACATATATATATATACATATATATATATATATATATATATATATATATATATTAGTACGTCTAAAACAGTGACAACTCTACAACAGATTTATCCATCGGATCACCAGCAGTGATGGTGATACGTGGCTGTGTACATTCTGTATATACAACTCGTCTAAACATCAGCCCAACAATGTTAGATCTGTAAAAAACACCAAATCGCCTGCACTGTATCCGACGCGCTAGACCACACGACCACCTAGGCTTCACAAAAATAAAGCTTTCGGTGGCTGGGTGTTACCTTGCCTCGTCAGTTTTAATCTAGCGTCGTAATACAGTACATGTTATATAAGGCATGAAGATGGAATTGTTACAGATCAGCTGAAATATCTATTGTAAAGGATCCTACAAATCAATGCAAGAAACAGTCACAGAAATAATTATATTTATAAGAACGTCTGAACCAGTGAC